ATGACGTAGCACTGGTGATGCTGGCCTTGACCTTCTGGCCGAGGCAGTGTTTGCCAGGTTTCTCCACCGGGCAGTTACTTCCCCCCTTTCCCTACTCTGCTCTGGGAAGCAAGTTACCACATACAGCCCCCGCTCAAGGAGGGCTGGAGCTCCTAGAGAGGGCAATGTGTACATCAATTATTTGAAATTCCTTTTTACCCTTGGCATTATTTTGAGATCTAGAAGTTTTCACTTTTTTGGAGATCATTCCATCATTCAGACAACCTGGGTTGACTCCTGGCTCTACCCATTTACTATCTGTGTGACCTTAGGCAACTTACTATTAACTGGAGTGATGGTTAAGAGTAATAGCATGTGTCTGTCAGGCTGGGTTCAGCTACATAACAGAAACCAGACTTAAGTGGTTTAACCAAATAGAGTTTGTGGTTTTTCTTTATGTGATGAGAAGTCCTGAGCAGCCAGTTGATTCTCCTGGCTGCTGCTCTGCCATCCTTAGTACATGACTTTTGTCCTCATGGTCCCAAGGTGGCTGCACTATCTCCAGCATGAAGTTGATGGCATTATCCTTATTTTATAGAAAGGAAAGTGAGGCTCAAGAGGATTAGCAACTTCTACCTTGAAGGAGTGCCTGGGGCACAGGAGTAATTGTTTTCCTAGTAGGATGGGCCTCTCCCAAGCCCCCTTAGGCTGGGATGCCTGGGGGATGAGGGTGAGCCACTGTCTACCTGCGCTTCCACACGCGGTCAGCCTGAGACCTCAGCCTCCCAGAGGTTGACTCACACTTGGAACCTCAAAAACCAGCCCATGCGTGGGCTGGTGGTGTGGCCTGCTTCCCTTGGGGCGGAGGGTGCTTAGTGAAGCAGGACAGGCTGGAGTTGCAGGGATGACCCAAGAGTAGCCGACCAAACAGCACTCAGGCCTGGGGACAGTCAGCAAGTGGGGTTGGCCCTAAGTCCTGCAGCCTGTGTCGGGTGACCTATTACCTGATTCCCACTCGAGTGAGAGATATAGAAAGAGGCTTGTTATTCCTGTCCTGTTTAGGAAGATAGATTTAATTCAGGGGAAAAGTATGGCCTTGGGACCAAAGCTGGCCTTCACCCATCTTGGCCAATAAAGTTTTATTGGCACACAGCCATGCCGTTACTTTACACGCTGCCCATGACTGCCTTTGTGCTGCAAGGGCAGAGCTGAGTAGTTGTCACAGAGACCATGTAGCTTGCAAATATTTACGGTCTGGCCCTTTGCAGAACAAGTGTGCGGACCCTGGCCTGAACAGAAAGCAGTCCAGGACCAGGTATATGCAGCTGGGGCTTCCAAGAGGAAGATACAAGGTGGCCAGGACTTACGAGGGGCTGTGGGGATTTCTGGGAACAGGAGTGAGTGGATGGCACCCTGGGGTGGGTGGGCTGGGCTTTAGCAGTGATCTGACTTGGGGGTTTCAGAAGAGAGGCCCCTGGACCCGAGCTGGCCCAAGGCTTCACCTTGCCACATGCTGCAATGGCATCTGGGTCTTTGTCACGAAAGGAGCTGCTTGGTGGTGCAGGTTGCCCGAGGGGCCAACTCTGAGGCACCTGCTGCCAGAAGCAGTGGGTTCCAGAAGGGCATGGGGTCTGGGGCCCTCAGTGGGGCACCCACTGCTCAGCCCAGCCCCCAGGGGCCACGAGGGGCTGTGGGCCCGCAGATTCCAAATTATCTGATTTTCCAAGAGAAGCTAGCAGACTGCCTGGTTTTCCTGAGAAATGTCCTCATTTTTCACATGTTTGCAATTAATTCCCGCTTTTAAAAATCATGACACTGACCAAGCACACATGTGCGTCTGGTGTGTGGGCTGCGGGCTGGAGAAGTCGGGTGTCAGGAGTGGAAGTGAGGGAGACGTGGGAGGGTGTGTGGACCTGGAGAGCACGCCAGGCCCTGCTCTCCAGCTCCAGAGGTTTTCCCTCCTCCAGGCTGGTGTGGGCTGTGGGAGGGAGGGGTGAGGCAGAGCTCTGGACCTATGGTGTCAGGTTTCCCTGTCTCCCTTCCTACCCCAGGCTGGTGGAACATTCAGCTGGGCTGGGCAGGGCTGGAGGAGCAAGAGCAAGGAGTTGGACACTCCTCCTTGCCTACCTGGCTGCCTCTGGAGAAGAATCTTCGTAGCAGCTGTAGGCGAGGGGTGGGAGGTGTAGCTCTCCGAAGCCTCCTCTGAGATTCTCCAGGATTTGTGTTCCAGGCCAGAGCCCTGTGGGGTGATGGGCAGGGGCTGGACTTAGAGCCGGAGAGGCCTGAGTGGACTCCACTCAGGACCCAGCACTATGGTTCCCTGCCTTCTGTGACCTCTGAGATGGAGACCACCCCTTTTGTTGCAGGTCGTCCTGAGAATCCAAGGGAAAACAGGCGTGGAAGGGCTGGGTTTCCTGGCCTCCTGGGGGGCCTGTGATTGAGGTCCTACTCACCTGACAACATCTGGGCTTCTGGCTATTTTCAGCCTCACACACCAACCCTCTCCTGCTGACTCAGCTGGTTTCCAAGCTCTCGCCAGCACTACTGTGGGTTTATTATTTGCTTTAGGCAGGATGCTTGGTTGCAAGTGACAACAACCCAGGTCAACTCTGCTTAAGCAAAGAAGAGAATCTGTGGTCTCATAAACAGGAAAAGTCCCGAGGTCACACTGACCTCGGGCAAAATCTGATTCAGGTGCTTGAATGACCCTGTCAGAACGCAGTCTTGCCTCATCTCCCAACCCTGCTTCCCTGGGCTGGTTTCATTCTCAGGCAGGCCCCTCAGTGTGGTGACAGACGTGACCCTCAGGCTCATGGCCCATCCTCCTAGGAACTTGGGAAGGGGGAATGCGGCAGGAAGCAGCCCTGTCCCAAGAGCATGAGTCCCAAGGCTGTTTCTCATTGGACCAGCTTGGGTCACCTGCTCACCCCTGGACCAATCCCAGCTCAGGTGGGTCGGGCCTCCTCTCACCCCTCCTTCAGCTGCGGGGGTAGGGAGAGCAGCGCTGATGGAAGCTGGCACCAGTGATCCCACAGGACAACCAAGATGCCAACAGCAGAATGGGAAATGAAGGCTGGACAGGCCAGAACAGCACATGTCCTGCCCATACCTACCTGCTCTCCAAGGGCAGCATTTGGGGCTGAAGAGGCCACATTCAGAGCCCCCTGGCTCAGCTCAGGCCACCCCTTCCTAGCTGACCTCAGGCCCAGATCTCCAGCCAACTGTGAGTCACTATCCCACAAATTTTCCACGTGCCCCAAGATGTTGTCAGGGGCTTGGTCCAGGGCCAATGTGGAGCTGCACCAGCCTCCTTGGCCTTTCTTGCCATCTTCCAGGCTGGGGGCCCTTTTGAAAAGGGAGGCAAACTTGTTTGTAGTGGCTTGTTCTTGAGCCCCTGTGGGGTCCTAGTGAGCAGCTTCCTTTTCCCAGCGCGCACACACAGCCGCTCTTTAATAATCCACGGTGCTGTCTGGCTGGGCGCGGACGGACTGCTCACCTCCCCTGGCACACCCCGTCCCCGCTTTCCAGATGCAGGAAGGGCGTTTCCCCTCCCTCGCCAGGAAAGATGCTACCATTTCTTGTGTTAGGTCTTGCTGAAACTAAAGATACGATTGCATCTAAAGCTGCTAGGAGTCTCTTAGGAGTTCTTCTCCTTGGCTCCTTTGTAATTATATTGAATTTGCTTCTTTTTTGGAAGTCTGTCTACCTGAGGGAGACAGGCAGCCCTGTGATGACCGAGGCTGCGTCTTGTTCACAACTGTGCCCTCAGTGTGCAAACAGGACCTGGCTGGGCGCGGGCACACAGTAAGGGAGTGGTTGAGGGGGTGGATGCTGGGAGGATGTGCCTGAGGTTGGTCTCCCACCTCCACGATGGGGAGGATGGTCTCGGTGTTGCTGCAGGAAGCAAGTCTAGGGGATGGGGAAGTACACACGCAGCGCAGTGCGGTCGTGCTGGGCTTGTGGGGAGCTGTAATTAACCGTGGGCTGAAGCCCCACATCCTTGCCCTGGCACCTGTGACTGCAACTGAAGGCTGGGACAGACCAAGGTCTCAGCCAGAGCAGGCAGGGGTGGCCTGTAGATCAAACAGTAGAGAGGGCGCTGGTGGGGAAGGGCAGCGAAAGGGACCCCAGGTGGGGATGGGCCTCCTCCCTCTGCACCCCTGGAGCTGCGCATTCCTGCCCATCACTCTGCTGGGTCCACCAGGGAGCCTTGCAGACACTCCCTCCTCTGAGCAGGTCACAGCCACTGGGATCAGCCCTGGATCTATGCAAGAATCACCTAAGAGCTCTGAGATAGTCCGATGCCCAGGCCACACCCCGGACCAATGACATCAGACTCGTGGAGTAGGGCCTGGGCATAAGCATTCCATAACTCCCCTGGGGCGTTCCGTGTGCAGGCGTGCTTGAGAAGTACTGGTGAGGTGGTCCTTTGTAAAAGTGGCTTGTCACCAAGATGCACATGTAACCCGTAGGGTTTGTGGAGAGTTGCTTTATGGAAAATCTCTCCCCAACCTCACTGCAACAAAAATCTACACCAGAAATAAGTAGGTACTTCTTATAATGGTTTAATTTAAAAAAAAAAAGGCAGTAACACATGCATGTAGCAGAGCCTTTGGGAGGTGCAGGTGGGAGCAAAGAACCATCAGCTGGACCCCGCTCTCCCAGCGGCCGCCCCGCTGCAGCTGTAAGCGCCCCTTTCCTCGCACGTGGTGGCCTGAGGTCCCCCTTGCTCTCTGGGTCGTCCCCTCTCAGCGTGTGGCTCCGCGGGTTCTCTCTGGTGCTGCAGAGCGGCTGAGTGCCCCGTCGTGGACTGGGGCCCAGCACTGCTGGCCCAGCTCCCCGTCCGGTGTCAGGTGGGCGGCTTTGGCTGTCACAGGCCGTGTCACCCAAGAATCACGGGATCTTTGGTCACATGGGCCACTCTCCCAGCAGGATAGACTCCTCCTGCATCTGGAGTTCCCGGGTCTCAGAACAGGTGGCTTCACATGGCTGAAGGGGCACCTCGTTTTCTGTCATTCCAGAAACGGTGGATGCCGGTGGCCCCGACGTACGAGCTGCCCACGTTGTACAGGACCGAGGACTACTTTCCTGTGGACGCTGGGGAGGCAGCACCCCGGACTCCCAGCTGCCAAAGGCGTCTGTGAGCCCTGCGTTCCTGCCGTCAGGGGTGTCAGAAAGGGAAGTCTGGGTGCAGGGCCAATTTTTTTTCCTTTTTTTTTTTTTGTTGTGGATTCGTTTTCTGAATTTCCCCCCTTGTTTCATGTGGGCCCATGGGGTTTGGAGAAGCAGTTGGGACCCACGGGCGGCAGTGCCTCAGAGATGAGCTGGAGAAGGCCTTTTCCACCAGCGTTTGGCCTGTCTGGTGTCGTGGATGAGGCGGTCACCCCAGGTGATGGGCTGTGGAGACTCAGATTTCCCTTTCCCTTGAAGGGCTTTGCATGGGAATCGGGAAGGGCTTGCGGGGTGCCACCAGGGTGCACGGGTCCAGGTCCGTCCGTGTTGGCTGGTGTGTCTGAACCCCAGCGCCCACTGGCCCTGTGAACTGTCTCAATAAAGGTGTCAAGAGGTCACGTGTGGTCTGGGTGTAAATGTTTCCTCAAAGGGTGCTCCTGCCACCTGATCAAGCCAGAGCCTCAGAATCTGTTTATAAAGCCCCTCACCTGACGGGAGGGTAAAGCTCCTGCCTTCAGATTCCCAGTGCTAATGCAGAGGTCTTTAGCATTTTCTGGAGCCTTTTAAGGTGTGTTTGCCTTAATTTCTTCTCATGCAGATGAGTTTCCTGCTATTGGCCTGAAATGCTAGATTCCTCGCTTTGGTGATGGATATTTCTAGTTTCTGGGGTCCTTCCCAGAGCCAAGAACACACACACAGAGACACATACACAGGCACGCACACACACACCTGCACTGCAGACCAGCATTTGGATTTCAGGGAAATCTGACATCATGAATCAGGCAAGATAGCAGTAGGCGAGCAAGAAAAAAGTTGAGTCTTGCAAATTTTAGGACAGTTTTTGGAACTAAAAGATAAAGATGGACCCCTTGGTTTAAGCAGTGCCAGCATTTGTCTGTGGGGATAATTTTTGTAAACATGATTTTTATTTAAAAATATCTCTAAGTTATTTTAAATTATTGATGTATAGTTTACAGATAGAAAGGTGCCCCTAAGTGTAGGGTTCACTGAATTTTCACACACTGAACAGCGCATCTGTTTAACCCTTACCCAGATGGAGAAACACACAAACTGGCAGCGTCAACACCCGGAAGCCCCCTCAAGCTCCTTCCAACCGGTGCCCTCCCCCCCACCCCGCCCCGCCCGAGCTAACACCATCCTGCCTTCTAGCAGCATCGACAGGGGTGCGATCCGTCCTCTGTAACTGGAGGAGGAGAGGCATGAACACTCAGTGTGCACTCAGTGGGCTGGCTTTGTGCCGGCTGCCCCGGCGCCCCTGGGAGGCTGATCCTTCATTCTTACGGCTGGGTTGTATGGACCAGGACTGTTTTTAATGAAGGAAGCTTAGGTAGTCCCTGTGCCCCAGTCTGCTCAGGGAGAGCAGAGAGTCAATGGAACGTTCATTTTTCAGACAAGTGGTGATGACGCCAGTTTCCGGAAAGCTGAGTATATGTTGATCGCTGGAGACGCCCAGGCTTCTTTCTCTTTCCAGAGCCCGAACCAAGGGCCCTGGAGAGGGGAAAGGGAAAGTCATGTGATCAAGCCACAGCAACTGAAGTGTCCCAAAATAGAGGCCCACAGGACGGTGGCTGAGAGCGTATAGGCTCTGAGGTTAGCCTGCCTGGGTGGCACCATCTCTTGCATATCTCAGCTGTGTGACCCTGGGCTAGTCACTTACCCTCTCTGAGCCCAGTAAGATGCAGAGAATAATGGCACCTGCCTATTGGGGTGTTGTGAGGAGGAAGCGAGATGACCTGTGTCCCTGTCGGCAATGGGCTCTTGGGAATGGGTGGCTGGGATGGTGACTGGGCTGGGTAGGGGAAGCACCGACTGTTCTGTGTTTCTCAGTTGACTCGTGGCATCCAAGAGCCTCAGCAGTGAGTGGCTTAGGAACTGCCCTTAAATTTCACGGTAAGAACAAGTCACGGGAGCGTGAGAGCTGCCAGAGCCCAACTGCGCTCTCTGGTTTTGCTGTCCTGCGATTCTTTAGGGGACATCGCCACCCTCCCCGCTGCCAAGTCAGTGAGGAGGGGTGAGGTTGCATGGCAGCATCGATGGGGAAAAGGTGACTAATGGGCTAGAATCGGCCATTCCAAGCTTCCGGGAGTTGCAGAGCCAAACAGTGAACTTTTAGGGACACTTGGAGACACTTAGGGGGAGGCAAGGCCAGGACACGGGGCCTGCCAGGAATTCCTGACCTCAGTCCTTTGAGCTGCTGGTGCTCTGTCCTGGTGCCAAGTGACCTGATGGGCGTCCCCTTTAAAGCAAGTGTCTGATGTGTCTCCTAGCAAGTCAGTGAAAGCTTGACTGCTGACTCGAGTGGGTCCTACATGAAGCCCATGGCAAAGGTCACTTTGCAACCTAGAAACGGATAATCATTTTCTCTTTTTCTTTCTTTTGTGGCTGTGGTTGGACAGGGACGCCAGTACGTAGACCATTGCAAGTATTCGTAAGAGCAAGGCCCTTTGGTCAACCATCCCTCCTTTCCCCGTGGATGTGAACTTCATGTCTGTCAAAGTAAGAGGTTTCAAGACGGTGGCCCACATGCTGGCAGAAATGTGGTTTGCCCTGAACTGTTTTAAAATTGTTTTCATGTTGAGACAGCTGGGTAACCATCTGGAAAAAATAAAGTGAGTTCCATACCTCACTCTGTACACCAGGAACACTTCCAAAATTCCAAATGGATTAAGGAGGAGTTAAATGTGTAAAATGAATTTATAGAAGGAGGCAGAAACATTGGAGAATCACAAAAAAATCCAGAAGTCATAAAAGGTAAGTTGGATTATATTTTAAAAGTTTAAAGCCTCTGCATGGCAAAAACAAACAGAAAATTCAACCAAAAAAAATAAAATAAAATAAAAAATCTCAAAACAAAACAACAAAATCCTAAGCAAATTCAAAAGACAAAGGACCAAAAAGACAAATGACAAACTGGGAAAATATATTTGCAGCTCGTATTACAAAGGGATAATGTCCCTAATACATAAAAGTGCCTACAAATAAATAAGAGAAGAAATTTTTAAATGTGAAAAGGATATAAACAGGCATTTCACAGAAAAGAAAATGCAAAAAGCATTTTAAAGGTATGAAAAGATACTCAACCTCAATCTGTAAGTAGAAAAGAATATTGAAATCATTCAGTTTTCACTCATCATGCTGACAAAAATAAATTTTTGATGACACTGTTGGTGAAATTTTGAAGAAACGTGCATTCTCACGTATCAGTGGTGGGACACCATTCTCATGGAGGTCCGTGGGCAGTCCCCATCAAAATTAGAAATGTCTGTCCCCTTGGGTCCCTAGGACCCAGTTCCACTCTGAGGGGTCTAGCCTCCCAATATACACACACAAGAGAAACAATAAATGTAAACGTTTATTCATTGCACATTGAAATAGCAAAAGATTAGAAAGAACCTAAGTGTCTTATCAACTAGGGATTGGTTCAGTTACAGTATCCCCACACTCGCATGGGTGGATGGAACCCTATGAAGTGATAAAAATGGATTAGGAGTTCTTTATGAATTAGTATGGAGAGATCATCGAAGCCAAAGTGGAGGGAAAGGACATGATATGCTGCTATTTGTGTAAGAAAGAAAAGCATTAAAGTTCTCTGGGAGGAGAAACAAACATTTGAAAACGGTGAGTATCTGTTCTGGGTGAGAAATGGACTTTCCACTTTATGTTTATACTTTTTTGATATGTTGGGGTTTACCTATTCAAAAATTCAATCAAAATCAGTTGCCAGCAATTCAAAGTCAGGATAGTTCACGTAAAGAACCGGATTTCCAGCTTCTCTACAAAAACTAAAATATCTAGCAATACTGGGCTCTTCCTTCTGCAATACAACAATGACCTAAAGCTGATTCCCTGCAGAGGGGCTGTGCCTCCAGGTTTCTCTTGTATCCAAATTATTTCTCTGATTTCTTAACCTGCCTGGCCCTGTGGGTGTTTGCATTCAAGACACTTAGAGCCAAAGGTCCCTAGACCATGGAGAGTTTATTCCAAGGACACAGGGTATGTGAAGACATGCAGTGGGGTGGAGGGTGCAGCTGCGTAGTCACTGCAAGACAAAGCCCCCCGCCCCCCAGCAGGCAAGCGAGCATCTCTGTGCCCCAGTTCCAGGGGGCGGGGCCTCACTATAGAAGTATGTGCTTTCAGGGCTCCTCCTTTTGGGAGTGACTGATACCAAGTCAAATACATCATAAGAAAACTAGAACAATAGTCTTCATGAATATAGATGCAGAAGTCCTTAACAAAATATTAGCTGACTGAATCCAGCAACATATAAAGAGGATTATACACCATGGCCAAGTGGGCTCTCTCCTAGGAATGCAAGAGTCATTTAACACCTGAAAATCAATCAATGCAACACACTTGCATTAATAAAAGTAAAAAACCACATGATCATCTCAGTAGATGTTGGATTTTGTCAAACGCTTTTTTCCTACATCCATTCATGATAAAAGCTCCCTTTCTTGGGGTGGAAGGGGGAGTGCTCAGAGAAGAGGTTAGAAGCTAGGCAGACACCCCCAAATGTGTCTACTTCCAGGATTACTAACTGTCTTGAGATGATTTGTTGACCAAGGCACCTGGAGGCATCAAGGCATTTCCCTTCCCATCTTAAAGCAAAATCCCACTTTGCCTTCTGGTCGAGAGCACAACTCTCCTTGGGTTTGGAAGTATTCAAAGTATTTCTGACTCCAGTCGCCCCAGGAGTTCCTCTGTGAGTCCTATGGACTCACCGTGGACTCAAAAGCATCAACATTCTTATCTGTAAGCACCAGCTGGATGCACTTCAGGCTTGCAAGCAGCGGGGAAGTGGCAGTGGTCTGAAGCTTGTTTCTGTGCCTACTGGGCCTTCTGGCAGGTGGGAATTGCTGGCTACCCATGATGCTCTGTTTGAGGAAGGAGTCAGGGAGACACTGCAGTGGGCAGTGAAACCTGGCATTCCTGCAAAGAACCAAACCAGCCAAGCCTGACTGCTGGGGGTCAGCCCTTCAACCAGCAGGACTTTCTCATTGCATCTCCCAGGGAGCTGCTCCATTATAAATGTCACATTCACAGTTTTGCCAGCACGGCTCTTCTGGGGCTGCCACGCCCGAGGCCTAGAAGAGGAGAGAGACATGGAGGAACGCCCTCGACAATGAGGTTTGTGCTTTTCTTCTGCTTGCACCAGAGCTGGGAATGTCTGCGGCGGTGACGCCAGCGGGGAGGAAGGGTGATCTGTGCAGGCCCCTGGTCTTCTCATGTCTCGCCTGGAAACCGAGGAGACACCAGGGCGTTAACTTGCACACATACAATTGCTTTTTGCATACAAGTTGCATCACTGGGTGGAGAGATGTGGATTCTCAGGCTGCCTGGCAGGTGGGTGTGTGTTGACGGAGAGTAGATGGTCTCA